GATTGCGTGTGCGGGTGGTGTAATGGCACGGAGTTAACTAGCAATAATATAAATAACCCCCAAACTGGCTTCAGATCCACAAGTATCCCTACTCAATAGTCCCTAGAATAGTTCAAAGCATATCCATTACTACCCACCAAATTAACAGTTAGAATAATGCAATATACTGCGCACAATGCAATATAATACACTACCCACAATGCAATACAATAGACTACCCACAATGTAATGCAATAGGCTACCCACAATGCAATGCAATGGACTATCCACAATGCAATGCAATAGACTTCCCACAATGCAATGCAATGGACTATCCACAATGCAATGCAATAGACTACCCACAATGCAATGGACTATCCACAATGCAATACTATAGACTACCCACAATACAATACAATAGACTACCCACAATGCAATGCAATGGACTATCCACAATACAATACAATAGACTACCCACAATGCAATGCAATGTACTATCCACAATGCAATACTATAGACTTCCCACAATGCAATACAATAGACTACCCACAATGCATCACTGACCTGTATATATAAATGGTCGAGTAAAAACAGAACGCACTGATTTGGCCTGGCGATTTGTTTCTGAGGAACTCTCTGTCGAACCCTCTGCGTTCGGGTAGTGAGGCACCAAGACGTGGCTAAGCCTACGGGCAGAGTCTCGTCTGGGGAGTTAGACAAGCCCGACTCCGTGTATGCGAGGTTTACGGGGAGTTTTGCCTGAGCCTATGGGCTCGGAGTGCCACACATAAAATCCGACCTTGTGCCACATCCTGCCTCGTGGCGAGGTCGTATAAATTCCGGCCTTACGATTGCGTTTATTATGAAACAGACTGTTGTCTCTGGTTGTTGACTCCAATGTCCACTTTATATATATATATATATATATATATATATATATGTGTGTGTGCGTGTGTGTGTGTGCAAATATATAGAAAAATAGGAAAGAACACGTGAGGTAAATAATCCGGATTTCTTTAGTATTTTTTTTATTAAAAAAAAACATTGCTCTATACAGAAGTAGACATTAAATTATAATTATTTAAAAAAAAATGATTCCTTCGCTACATAAGAGTTCTCATGTTTCAAAAACAAGACACCAAAACCTAAATATCATTATTAAAATTAAATTGAATTAAAGTATCAAGTCGTTTCATCCTCAACCGAAAATTTAGGAAACAATTTATATATATATATATATATATATATATATATATAATGACTCATGATCAATTTTTCATCAATAACTATGAAAACACGATTCGTCGATTACCTACTCCATGAAGTAAGATTCGTAAAAAGAGGCCGACATCTGTTTTTAGTCTGCAAAAGGAATTGTTGTTCTTTTATGCATACTTTTCAGTTATGTATTCAATGTTTGAAAGTGGAATCTAATGTTCGCAACTGGATATGAAGAGAAACCAGAAACATGACGTGACATGTTTTATACCTTACAATGCAGCGGACAACAAAACATCGTTTAATAATAGCATAAAAACAGCACGTTGTCTGAAACTGTATGGCGCAGTGGAAGACAAAACCAGCAGATCTTATGCAGTTACATGGATAATTATGCACGCTTCTTTTCTTCTTCTTCTTCTTCTTCTTCTTCTTCTTCTTCTATATGGTGTGTTCCTTCAAGACGTGTGCGATCATAGCTCTCCACAATCTCCCGTGATTTGTAGCTCTTAATTAAGTTTGCCCTTTTGCTATCTTTCCTAATTCCTGTTCCGCCAACAACTTACAATTGGCTTCTTGTTGTTCTATGTGCCGTGTCCATACAGGGCGTGAGCGATCATGGCTCTCCACAATCTCCAGTCCTTTGTAGCTCTTATTAAATTTGCCTTTTTGCTATCTCTCCTAATCCTTGCTCCGCCAGCAGTTTACACAAGCATGTTGTTCTTCTTCTATGTGTCGTGTCTCTTCACGACTTCAGAAATCATGGCTCTCCACAATCTCCTATTCTTTGTAGCTTTTAGTAAATTTTGTCATTCTGCTATCTCTACTAATCTCTGTTCTACCAACCATTTACAGCAGCTCGTTCTACTTGTATTTGCCGTGTCCTTCAGAACATGTGGAATCATGGCTCTCCACAATCTCCTGTCCGTTATAGCTCTTATCACAAACGGTTAAATAATCGTCTAACTGATGTGGCCTATGCTTGTAGGAAAAAATCAAATCATCATCTTTCCAGAGCCACAAAGCCTCTTCAACAATATACCGGTGCTTGTTAGCAAGTGTATGAGCGTCGTTCAAAAAGTTCTAAGCCTCACCAAGAAAGAAGAGACATAGCTGAACATTTTTGTTGTGGCAACACGCTACCACTTCTTATAAAAGTAGAAAAAGTAATTCATATTTCTGTCTTAACATCTGTGCAGCTGAGACCCATACAAGATGTGAAAGACGTAACAAAACAGGGGCCTGCGTTCACCACTTCGAACCTGAATCAAAGCAAACAGTAGGAAAACCTTTAGGACTCTGAAGACGTAATCATAATAAACTACTTGGAAAAGGGAAAGCTATTATTGGACAGTAATATGTACCAGAATTAATTGAGGGAAATTAGGCACTTGCCCCAAGATAACACGCCCGTTTGAAAATGCTCCGCTTGCAGTAGCTGAACTAACCAACTGTGGCTTTGAATTGTTACCCCACCCCCTATCTCACCAGACTCCATCACATTCCTGTTTCCTGAGCTCAAATTCCACCTGCGTGGCCGCAATTTTGGAAATAATGATGAGATCATATGAGCAGTGAAAGAGATTTGGATGATCAGGATGCCATCATCTTCCGAGATGGGATTGTAATGCTTAAGCATCATTGGACCAAGTAAATTGATGCCAAGAGGTACTATATTGAAAAACAACAAAAAAAAAACCCAATAAAAACGGTGTTGTTCCTCCAACTTCTTCAGGATGAGACTTAGAACTTTCTCGTAATCATATGAACAAATTTCGGCTGAGCTATTTAGCGCCTGACTGATATAAAGAACGCAATAAACAAATAAATCATAGGTCTATGTGGGAGCTCATATTTTTCCATTCTTTTACAATAATGAGAAATTCCCGATAAATCTCTCGAGAGCAATATAGCGTAGTAAAAAAAAAAATAAATGACAATATTTTTATCTGTAGTTAGAGTATACACCGGAATGCAGACCCCTACGTCAGTTTATATTGTGCCAATGACGGTGTTTTGACATCGGCACAGAATGAGATGTAATGAATTTCTTTGTTTCTATTTTTTGTTTTCCTTTATTCGTCTTTTTTTTTCTTCCCTTTTTCTTTCAAGTCTTTAATTGATTCCCTGTTTCTTTCATTGTTATTTCTTCTTTTCTTACTTTCTATTTCTGGGCTTGGCAATGAAATGTATATGATTTCTGTTTTCGTTCTTTCTTGTTCCTCTTTTCAATATATTACTATTTTGTGTAACATGTATCTGGAAAAAAAAAACACCATTTTTACTGTGCTCTTGCGGGTGATATCTAATCCTCAGGGGTCGTAGTTTTCCCCCACCTGATCTACTGAGACTCAAGCTCACTCCAGACCCACATAAAATCATATAAACGATTCATCAGTAAAGATGTCGGAAAAAAATTACCGGTTCCTTGTATCGCCTTTAGGAAATACGCGACGCTTTACCCCATGCTCTTTCTAAAATTCAGATCAGACCTAAAATGGAGCATTGCTGCTATACCTGGGCAGGAGCTTCCCAATCCCCTCTTTCCATTCTCGACAGATTTCGATAGCGTTTACGCAGTCCTGTGTTTTATGAATTATTTTCTATTCTCCAACACTTCCCCATTATCGTCTTCTCCGTACTCTATCGCTAGTTTTATGACAAATATTCAGACGAGTTTTTGTCATACCATTTCAGAGCTCCACAGCAATGACCTACGACTCTACGTATACATGATTTACTTATACATCTCTTCAATATATTCTGTGAGTATTAAAGTTTTCAAATCTTTCCTTCTCACGTCCTAGGTAAGACGATAAACTACAGCAAGAACTCTGATCAGGAGGTTCTGGGGAGCATGGAACCACCTCTTAATTGATGGTGTTCCCTGGTCCACCCAGATCCGGGGTGGTAGCACCTGTTAGGGCCCCAACTATGGGCAAATACACCGTGAAAGTGTAAAAATACATTTTAACATCAGCAATGAATTTTTGAAGAAAAATTATTACCCGCAATACATTTTTGAATAAAAAAAAATATTATCAGCAATATATTGTTGTAAATAATTATTACCAGTAATACATTTTTGAAGGAAAAATATATTACCAAAAATGCATTTTTGAAGGAAAAAGTATTACCAGCAATAAAAATCTTGTCGGCATTAAATAACCTATTGAGGTTGATATGCCGTAAAACAAACGAAACCCTCCTTCTATTTATGTATGAAATAGACTACCCGTTACCGCTGGGATATGTTTATATATATTTTTTTTGATATCTATATCTCTCATACAGTTCATTCCCACGAGATTTCCCAAGATGCAGTTGGGCCGATCATGTAGGTTTCACTTACGTTTCTAGAACACCCTATCTCAGGTTATACCTGCATCTGTCTTCTCTGATGCACGCTAAGTGCAGTCTTTTGTCTTGCATGATCAGGGCCAGGGGTAAAGTCTGTTGTCTGGCATGATGGATGGATAGAGTTACTTTTATATGAAGAAATACGACATCACCCAAAATTATTGGATGAACAAAAAAAATGTACAATAAACAATTTATTTTACTGCTGTCATTCTAACTTGGTTCATCGTCCGGATGAATCTAAATGTACTACTAGATTGGCAATTAGGTCACATCGTTTTACTGTAGAAATAGTTAGAGGCAACCGTAAGTTCTATTCTAATAGTTTCTTCTCCCAAACTTCTTACCTTCAGATCACTAGCTTTCATGCCAGCTACAATCTTAAAAATTCAAATGTAACATTAATCACAAACTTTTGTCTTTCTGAAAACTTTTCTTTTATT